TCTCTCCTTCCTCTGACACATATTCTACCAGCTATCTCTACCACCCTCTACTGTCTGGCAATCCTCTAGCCACAGATTCAACAATGAACAAAAACCACAGTATGACATGCTGGAATATAAGTGACAACACAGCAAGGGTTTCTGTTTTGTATGGGCAGCTTAGGCCCACAAGTGTAAGGGAAAGCCTGAGGGAGGGTAGAATATGAGCAGGTGTGCACAGCTTCTGATTACAGGAAGCAAAACACATTTTATTTGATGAATATCAAATTGAAAGTAATGAGAAAGGGTGCTACCTAATTGTCGCCAAAACTGCTGCTTGGTTTAATTTAGGCTCAACTAGATTTTGCTGTACGCCTTAGGGTCTGAAGGCTTAGGCTCTTGAGCCCTTGTTTATGCTAAAACTAATTTTTTTTAGTTTATTTGAAAGACATTGCTTAAACTTTAATGATTCAACAAGTAAGAAAATACCCTGAGATTCAGAGCTTTAAAAGGAAGTTTTGATTCACCATTTTACTGGATGACTTTAATGGAATTATGTCTTATAAAGCTGTTTAGCGTTTCATGTTTCAGAATTCTGCATAGAATTCTCAATACCCTAGAGCATCTTGGCATTTTTTTGAGTCTTATGACTTTAGTTACAAAAGCGAAGAGAAAATCATGGCAGCATCCCTTATAAGATTAACTAAATAATACTGTGATATTATACTATTATACTGTATTAAAATATTAGTTCCAGGAATGTAGTACAGTGTTGGCTAAAGGCAAAGGTAACTTGCTATCTAAATCTTCAAGATTAGTAATAATAATCACAGGACACAAGATCAATACAATCACAACTGCCTTTTAAAATACATTTTTATTTCCCTGAAATGATTGGTCAAGAAGTACTGAGATCAGATTTTGCTATCAGATCTTATTTCAAGTTCAGTATGACGTTTTTAGGTGAGGAAGGGCTATGCTTGATGGAAGTTGGACCTATGTTTTTGTGGCTGCTGCTAAGCAAAAATAGAGTGTGCAGAAAGCAGTTTGGCAGTGCCACAATAGGTTAAACAGACTTACCTGTGACTCAGGAGTTTCACTCCTTGGTATATGTAACCCAAAGAATTGAAAACAGGTGTTTACACAAAAACTTGTACACAGATGTTCATAGCAGCACTATTCACAACAGCCAAAGGTGGCAACAACCCACATGTCCATGTACGTATGAGTGGATAAACAAAGTATGGCACATTCATACAATGAACGATAGTATGATAGTACAATGAATAAGAATTTAGCAGTGAAAAACGATGAAGTCCTGATACATGCTACAACATGGATGAACTTTGAAAATGTGCTGAGAGAACCCAATCACAAAAGAATACATATTACATAATTCCATTTATATAAAATATCCAGAATCTGGCAAATCTGTAGAGATAACAGATTAGTGGTTTCTGGATAGGGAGGAGGATTAGGAAGGAGAGAGGAAAGAGGTGTGGTTGCTCAATGGGTATGAGGTTTATTTGGGGTGAGGGAAATGTTTCAGAACTAGATAGAGGTGGTGGTTGTACAACATTGTGAATATACTAAATGTCACAAATGGGAAATTTTATGCTATGTGTATTTTACTACAATAAAAAATGGAATGTGTGACTTTTGATTTTTAATTCTTTGTGAATCCTACTAAAGTTTAACAGGGCGGGGTGAATCCTGAAAAACACACATGTGTCAAATTCGGGGCAGAGTGGCGACAGCCATCTGAGGTCTGCAAGGTGAGGCTTGTACATCCTGATTGAGATCCCTGGTGCAGGAACCTGCCTCACGTGGGCACAGCAGCCACACAGGCAGCCGCTCCAGGAGCCCCTGATGCCCTGCAGGGCTGTCAGCAGTTTCAAGTATAGCGCAGCTTGTTTGAAACTCTCATGTAACGCCATGTAAAACTGGAATACTGAGCTGTTTAAAACCCAAGCATACAGAAACCCAGCAGATATAAATTTTAACTGCAGTGAAGCCAGGATAATTTCAGTTTATCCAATGAAAAGGAAAATAAACTTTTATGTTCTGGTGGTGCTATAATAAGTTTAGTGAAAGATGTATGGAAAGTTTCTAGTTACTGCTTCACATGTTCTTTTTCCTTGTCCTTGGGAGCATGCCACTTTCTCTTCTTCACGCCATATTCTACTCTCAAAAGGAAATGCTTTCAAATGTTTTTTTTTTTTTCATTTAGACAATGAAAATAATATTTGATTATTACAAAAATTCAGAAAAAAATGGAAATACGTTTGGGCGACAGAGCAAGACTCTGTCTCAAAAAAAAAATAAAAAAATAAAAAAAAAGACATCTCAGCCATTCAGGATAATACTATTGATGTTTTGGCATGCATCCTTCTGGTCTTATTTCTATGACCATATGTGCACCTGTATTTTGATTTTTCACTGGGATCATACTACATTTATCAACATAGCATGGACATCTATCATACCAATAAATATCAATCAATACCATACTTTTCTTTTTTTAGAGGTGGGGTCTTGGTCTGTCACTCATGCTGGAGTGCAGCAGTATGATCATAGCTCACTGCAGCCTCAAACTCCTAACTTCAAGTGATCCTCCTGCCTCAGCTTCCCAAGTAGCTGGGATTATAGGTGCATGCTACTATGCCCAGCTTTTCTTTTTTTTTTTT